TTAATGAGTTTTTTGGGTTCATTGAGAACATGGTTGTTGTTCAATAATAAAATTATTCCTCAAAAATACAACTTGCCTAATAATTCTGCACTCCCTGTAGTCCCGTCTCCCCTATTTCCTTTGATGAAGCATCTGTGTACCTCTCCTAGTGTATTCTCTGTAAATGACGATTTTTTTATTTCTTTTTTTTTAATTTTTTGGATATCTGTTTCTTGCTTTTTGTTATTTTCTCTGCCTTGACTCCAGCATTTGGGTCCTTCGTTCTATAAATTGGCTAGCTAGTTAGTTTCACTCGTTTTAACAAGTCGGCATCGCATCTTACTTCGTCTGTCACATAAGGCCTCCACTTCAAAATTGGTTAATTTTGCTCTGTTTTGGTTCATTCATAGAGCCAAATATTTGTCCTTTGCTCACATTTACATTTTAGTTTTACATCTACTTAGTTTACAGGGGTGTCCAAATTCATAGCATCAGGCCGCTTTTGTAGGCCGATTACATCACAGTGACGCGACCAAGGCTGTCCAAATTCGAAGACTCCTCCAAATGCGTCCTTCATTTCCCCATTTTTGAAGGATGGGTCGGTGTATCCTTCGTGGCCCAACCTATCCCAGAATGCATAGCGCAGCCAATTCCAGTTTCCAACAATGGCGGCAGCTACTTAGTTTTAATATTACTCTTATTATTCTTTCTGGGTCACAAAATAAACTTTTAAGATATTTTCAGGCAAGAATGTAGCTGTGTAAATTTCAAATATCTGCTCGGTTTATCAAGACATCCCATATTTGCATATAATGCTCCGACAGTTTCGGAGACGTCTGTTACCCACCAGCTTGATAGCTAGCCAGGGCGAGTACAGCGAACTCCCGGCACATCGTTTTCAAACCCCCCACGGGGGTAAACTCTGGGTAAACAGGATATATGAGTCACTTTGATAACTTAAAAATGTCATTGTTTGGCTTTTTTCAGTGTTTTATTTGTTCCTGAGTAAATCGGTTTGGCTGTGATTAAAGTTATAGTTTTCACATAGCTGAATAAACGTCAAACGGAAAACTGATTAAACAGAAGTGTGAGATGGTCGAGGATTTACGCCAGTGTCCTGTTTCTTATATTTTAGATAGCAAAGAGCAGACGGCTGAGTTTACTAAACTCCACCGAGACAGCGGTGACGCAAAACTGAAGACTAGACCCATTTCACAGCCGCTCACTTACGGCCTACCCGGCCTTCGGAGGACCCGGTCCACGTAGACCATGAAGGCCGGGTCCTCAGAAGGATGCAGCCTATGAATTTGGACACCCCTACATCTACCATCTAGACCACTCACTGTACATTTACATCCCTCAAAGCTTCTTTTGAAAAAAGTGTTAAACAAAGATCCACAAATGGGGTTTTAAGAACTTTTATAACCCTCAATTCTTTTAAGGAAGGAGTGTTTCCACTAAAAGATTTTAGAACTTCAAAGCGTTCATCAAAAGTGCTTATTCCTTACAAGACTGACTGACAACATGCAAAACACTTCTGTTAGAGCTGAGGAGGTAATAAGAACGGAGTAATACTTGGAATTTGACAGGTTTCTGGAAGACAGAAGGACCACCAGAGGACTTGTATTCTGCCCGGAAACTATTCTGAGACACCACACTGTGGCAGAGGGATGGGATCTGCAGAAGACAAAGAAAAAAGTGATGCCAAGTTATGACGATCGAATCTCAAATTCGTGTGTTTAACACCGCTGTGGGAATCGTACAAATATGTCGAAGCTTATCTAAGTTTGTCTGCACTCACGGAGAGAAAAGCTTGGACGATGTCAGCCTTGATAGAGCTGAGCGGCTTGTCTCTGATCAAGACAAAGATCTGCTCCTCTTTCTCCAGCGTGATGAAGTTACCAAACCAGGACCGCTTCACCAGCCTGCAAATTAATCAGATTAGTTTCAGTCACATGTTTTATACAGTACAAATAGAAAAATAATGGCTCACTCATCCATAAGCACTGACACAGCACAGAGATTAAAGGTTAAATTCACTAAAAATGGACAAGAAAGCACAACTACAACCAAGTCAGTCGATAACACAGTAATATCACACGTCACAGTGGAGAGCTAAGCAACATGTATTTTCATTCTTGATGTGTCAGCCCACAGTAACAGAGGTTTTTTTTTTGGCTTTTGGGTGAAGCACAGTAAAAGTGGTAAAAAGTTACCTGGTTACTTAGTGAAAGATGACGATTTACTGTCATTTACTCTTTTTCAGATATGTTGCTGCTGAGTGTTTTAGGCTGAACTGCAAATCAAAGTCTAACAGTGTCTAAAACCATATAACAAGCTCCACATGTTCTCTCTTTCTAATATGATAATGTAAGTCAGGCATCTCTACGGTGGCCTGAGAGGTCAAATGCACTGCAGCTTAAGAAAACACCAGCAAATGTTGCTGTTTTTGGACAGGAAATAACGTGACTGAAACCAGAGCATGTAAAGGAGTCCTCTGAGAGAGTGCCGTGAGGGACAAAAAGATGAGCTTCATTTAATACTGTAGATAAATGTTTGCTATCAGCTGTTTGCCATTAGCTTGTCACTTCTGCAGCTGGTCCATGACGTTACCGTCTCTCCAAAAAACACTCGCTCGAGTGTTTGTTGTGTTTTGAGTGCTTTTGTAGCATTTTTCTATGTGTTGGTGTTTTGTTTTTTAATTTGAAGTGCATTTGACCTTTGAGGGCCATCGTACATCCCCCCAGTAGAGGTGTGCCATATTGTAAATCCTGGTATTGATCCAATACCAAATACTTACATGGCCTAAACCGGGGCCGATACCAACAACGATATGTTCGACCAATAAGTGCAGCTTATGTAGTGGAGGGCAGTGTGTCATGACTTACGAGATAAATCTTCACCACTAAATTTCTGTGATTTTTACTTTGAACATTAAAAAAGTTCAGACAACAAAAAAACCCTGTTCAGCCTTTCATGAAGTTTGAAACAAGCTTTGTTGGAGACCTGGAATGTCAATGTGTCTTTCTCTAAACGACTTTGGGTCAGCTGTAGGCTACGAATAAAATCGACAAACAAATGTTACAATGTTTTTCATTTTCAAAAAAAGTATTTATTAAACAGAATTCAGTCGGCTACATACTGAACACAGAGGATAGAAACAAAGTATCGATCTTGTCGCGCCAGTATTGATCCAATACTGATACCAGTGCTGATATTCAGGCTATTAATATTTTCGATCTGCCCACCTCCTCCCCAGAGTGTGTGTTTGAATCTTAAACTTAAGATACTGGAGCAAACTTACTCTCTGTTGTGTTATAATAAACTAGCCCTTTAGCCCTGTTCTAAATGACTTATTTCAGTGTGAAGCATGGTGTGAACATGATGCTTCAAACTCTCAGTTTCTGAATGTTTATCTGCAAACAGCAGCTTTAACTTGTGTCTTAAACCAATGTCTATGGTGATTTTGGTAAAATCGTGACTTTTATCTTGGAAAATGGCTTGCAAGTGACGGCTAATTAACAAGGAGTTAACGTGCCATACCTGTTCTGTTGTCTGACAGCAGAAACAGAAAAATTATATACATGAGAAGAGCTTTAATGGAAAGTTGGCTGTATTAAAACACAGTAAATGCGAAGAGAGATAGTAGCACAAAAGCAAACAGCGCTAAAGAGGTGAAAGCCAGCTAAGTGTAGTTTGCACTGAAGCACAAAAGGCAAAAGAAAAGATGAAAAAAGCAGAGCAACCAACAACCAATACACAGTTCCTGCATATTGGTTTCAAATCGGTCTTAAAACTGTTGGCTGTGCCTCAGCATTACACTTTCAACACATCTGTGTGCTGCGGGGGACAGTCAGTGCTGATGTTGACTGTAGCAGCATTAGATGCTACGTGCTAACACAAACCGGTTCTTTAGAAATAAATAAACATTGTTGTATTCACCCTGGCAGCCAACAAATGTTTGATATTTGTTTTTTGGCTGTGACAGTTTAGAGCTAGCAGGAATGGCTCCATTCATTCTGAATGTAAGAGATCAACATCTAAAAATTGCTGCTCATTCGGTTACGACATCAGAAATGACTGCAAACTTGAATTGTTGATTCAGAGACAAGCCCACTGATCTATAGAAGGAAAGGAACAAAGTGAGAGGATGATCTGATCGGTGATGGGGGATGGGCTTTTCTCTTACTTTGTGGGTCTTTAGACATGTAAGTGAAAGAAGGAGGATTTTGCAAAACGCAGTGCGCCCCTTTGAGTTGTAGGAAAGAAAACTGATTTAATGTGTGTACTTACTCTGGGCTGGATTCTGGCGTTAAGCTGGACATATCCTCTGATGTAGGAACTGGAGTCAGAGAGAGGGAAAGAAAAGGGCAGTAATTCTTGATGACAGGCTCAAATGTAATTGCTGTAATTACATATTATTAGAAAATAAGATGTTACTTAACACTGCCCCAGGCATCAGGCTGGAACACGTGCTACTTTCTTAGTAACAATAGATTCTATCTTGGATTCATCTCTTCATAAGATTCATTTGCTCTTGGCTAAAAGACTATTTTCTTTGATTGTGTGCTTTAAACTTCTTATTCACCTTGTAGTTTGCGCCTGTGGAAGCGCGGAGAGCCCAGAAGGTTGTTCTTGAATGAGTTGAGCCTGGATCTCCAGTGAGCAGAGCCCGAGGCGGCCATCCCACCACTGCCCCCCGGGCTGGAGGGCGGGGTCAGCGACAGCGAGGCCCCTCCGGCTCCGTCCGCTCTGGAGGAAGAAGACGAGGAGGAAGAGGAGGGAGGGGTGGTGGAGGAAGGGTGTTGGAGTTGGTGCACAGGCGTGCCCAGCGGGGTGGGCAGCGGCGAGCCTTGCGGTGTGACCTGCGACACAGGGGGAGGGGTGGCAGAGGAGTTAGAGGACGAGTGGACGTTCTTGGACTTGAAGACAGATGGTGACGGGAAGTTGAAGAAGCGTGGAATGGGGGAGAGTATAGGGGAGGGCGAAGGGGAAGGGGAGCGTGGTGTCTGGAGTGGGAGGGACTTCATGGTGTGAAGCTGGGGCCGTTCTGCAGGGCCTTTTGAGGGCAAGGTCTGGGTTTTTGGGTCAGGCGCCGGGCGGGTAGGTCGAGGGGTGGTGGCACTTCCTGGTTTGGGGTCTTTGGAGGAGGAAGCGGAGGTGGAGGTGACTTCTGATTGGCTGAAAGTGAAGACCGGACTCTGATTGGTAGACAGAGAGAGATGGAAACAGGTACAGACAGATGTGAGAGGAAGAAATGGTCATGAAATATGATTCATGGATATGATTTATCAGCGAACCTCATCGAGATGCAACAACGAACGATGGAATTAATTACTTCTACTGCTATCATAAATGTGTGTCTATCAGACACTTTTTACCCATGTCAGCATGAGAACGGAGATCTTTGCATGAGGCAGCATGACATGACAATGCATATGACTCAGGATGTAATGATATGATGGCGAGGCATGAGAAGCGATGACAGCCAGAGCTTGTGATATATATTAAAAAGTCACAATACAGGAAATTTGTTTTTGTCAAGACCTGAACTGATGATGCATGTACTAAAGCAACTGACAACACACACACACACACACACACACACACACACACACACACACACACACACAC